ACTTCTTGTTTTTCATGTTATTGATTATTGTTTGCTTCTGATTAGCTGCCTTCCCTCTTGCCTATCATTTCGAAATTAGGGAAGAAGAATGATAAGCCTAGCTTCGTGTTTTTCATGTTAGTGGTTAGTGTTTGCTGCTGATTAGCGATTGATATATTTGACCACGAATTTACTCTAATCCTGCCTAAAAGAATTTCAATTTGAGGGTAGGCTTGCAGAGGTCCTAATGAGTAATAGAATTGAATCGGGTATACGCGCGACCCACGCTCGGTATTGCTGGCGCACAAAAATATAGCCAAAGGTCTCGTAGATTAATTTACTCTAATCTTGTCTAAAAGAATTTCTAGTACCGTGGCTATTGAGGATTCCCTCTTGTTTACTTTTTTGATAATAAATATGAAACTATGTTAAAGGCTAAGCTCTAGTTCACAGAGTCTACATTATGGAGAATATATAGGGCGTTAGTTGCTTGGTTTATCTAGCTAATTGTCACACTTAGAATAGTTTCAGTATACCGGGGCGGAATGCTTCATGTAGTTGGGTTTGTCCTATCTCACCCGGTATGTGCTTGAACGGTAAGGGTCCTTTGTTTCGTTTTAAATGGCTAATTATTAGATAAAAGGGTGGAGGTTGAGAGTTCTGTACAAGTTTAGGGTGGCTTATGTCTACTATAAGAATATTATTATTTTTATTTATAATATCAAATAAAAGGGTGGAGATTGGGAGTTCTGTAGAAATTTAGGGTGGCTCATTTCTACTATAAGAATATTTTTATTTATATCAAATAAAAGGGTGGAAATTGGGAGTTTTATTTTGTAGAATTTTTTGGGTTGGTTTAATTTTACGTTAAAGTTATTTCTAAATATTAAGGGTAACTGCCTTCCCACATCTGGCTGCAGACAGCGGAAGGTAGTTGGAGTTGAGACGTTGTAGGTTTAAGCACTCAACTCTTAACCATAAACTGATTCTCCTTAGTTGCTGGCGAGTTTTACATCGGCGTTTGGATATTGCCTGATAGTTAGAATATCCCCAACTCATTTGGGTGCTATGACCACAGACATTATCCATTATGACGTAAGAATGACAACAAGGAATGATAACGGAGGCATAATTTTCAATTTTATTATATTGTTTGTGATATATTAAGTTCATTATTGTTTTATAGTGTTGATTTTAATCGCCTATGAACAAGTAATGTATTGCATAGCATTAGGTATATTAATTAATCGGTTAAGCAGCAAAATACGCTGTAATATTTATATTGAATGGGTTGTTTCAAAACTATTTTCGTTTATGTAACTTACATCTTTTTCTAAAGCCCAGAAGCTTATTTTCTTGTCGTTGCTTAGAACCTCAGTTTTATAGCTATAATATGAAATACTTAAGAGTGAATTTTTAATAATGCGAACAAAATATGGGTAATGTAAAGTGTGTAAAAACAAAACAATAGACACTGACTGGCTGTATTACCCCGTTTATTCGTGAAGCCCTTCACGTTTTATTTGGTTTAATACCTCCATATTAACATTTTATATACAGTACTGTTGATTTTATCCAGTTTCAGGGTTGTATATAAAATAAAAACAGTAATTTGACTCGGGTATTACTAGCCTAATTTAAATCGTTCAAGATCTACACACCAAGACAAAAACTTATACACGTCTGTGTACACATACATATAAACATACAAACAAATTACTGTTTCCACCCTTCTTGTATGTTGCTTGAGAAGCATATATTTTCCCGAAGTTTAGGGAAACTGCCACCTTTTTAAAAAGTGAGTAGGCAGCTACTCTTTTTTCCCCCCTCCCCAACTCCGGTGTCTACGCTTAGGTGACACTCCTTATGAACGTGTTTCAGTTTGAAATCTCCTTGTGAACGTGGCCCCCGAGTGAAATCTCAATAGGGCTTCTTGAGAGCGTTGCCCAGAGCGAAATCATATGACTCCTTGTGAACATGCTTCAAAGTGAAATCTCAATATGGCTTCTTGTGAACATGCTTCAAAGTGAAATCTCAATATGGCTTCTTGTGAACGTGGCCCAGAGTGAAATCATATAACTCCTTGTGAACAAGCTTCAGAGTGAAATCTCCATATGACTGTTTGTGAACGTGCTCCAGAATGAAATTCCCATTTGTATCAAGCATGAGGCACACTAGCCTGATTCCCTACATGTTTCTGCTCTTCGTTTGTGTACTCCTTCTTTCATGCAGCTAGGGTATAGCTGTAAACGTTCTTGCAGTCCTAAATTTGTAAGAGTTGTCACATTAACCTTATTATATACTCACACTGGATCTGTACTATAAAAAAGAACTAAGTACACTAAGTTATTTTTATGATAAAACTAATCATTCCCATCTCGTAGGCCCACTCATTTGAAATAAAATTCTTGTTGATTTTTCTCCTAGATTTTACATTTTGTAATTGGACTATTACCCATCTGGCCTTTTACTTTGGCATTTCCAGATATTTTATCTTTTGTAAATTCTTCCATGTTATCTAGTGTTTGTTCTTTGATTTACAGGCTTTTACCATTTCATGTTTCATTGTCCTTTCATTGTTTTTTTCCAGATCATATTGTTTCACCAGCTTTTTTCTTTGCTTTTGTTTTCTCTCTCGTATTTGTGCATTCCCTAGTGGGTTAGCGGTAAGTTTTCGGACTTACAACACTAAAATACGGGGCTCGATTCTCCCTGGTGTATATAGCCCATTGTATAGCTTCGCATTAAGAAAACAACACTAGTTATCTATAGTTTCACCGTCACGTTAGCAATTATATGATTATTTTTCTCTTTATCTAACAGTAGAAATGTTTAGATATATCTGGAACATTTACTGGGCACGTAACTGCCACGATCCTTGTGCTGCTGCACGAGCTTTGACGGTGCGTCAGTGGACATATAAAATCTCCAACGTTTATTTTTTAAAAGCTATAATGCGCAGTAAATTAAGACGACTCGTTGACTTAAGAATACCAGAAATAATGTATTCTGTATATTGACCTATTTAAGCTTGACTAATATCATGTAACCGTTAAATGTAATTCTCGTATAATTTCCTCAAGTTTATGAGATTCTAGGAAAAATAAAATAAAAAATATTGAATGAGATCCGGCATTCCTTGTTATCATACAGAGATAGGGAGAGAGAAAACACAGTATATCAATTAAAAATCCTTTTCGACGTTACAAATTCAAAACAGACAGATATGTTATCGCGGAACAGGTATATGGTGGTTATTTTTTGATAGTTTTCTTCAGTGGTATTAGAAACTATCCTCAAACTGAGTTTTCGTTTGCTTTTCTTGTTTGTGATAAATCCTTCTTTCTTCAGACACCTTATTACTGATTGGAAATAAGGCTTTGTAAGGCGATTTTTCTCAACGGTATTCGGTATCTTCAACCTGAATGGCATCTTATGCATGGGCTAAACGGGCATAGCGGTTTTTAATTTAAAACTTGACCAGAAGAAGGACAACTATTCAGCAGCATCTGCTGCCTTCATGGCGGGGTTAAGTGCCACTTTTTTAACGCGCTCCAAGCTGAAAGTTTGGAGTATGTTCAGTAGCATATTACATGCTCGAACTTTAAACCTTACGTTACGCAGCCTGGTCCATATTTTGTGAATACTTTGCTCATATGGTCTGAAGTACAGCGGTAGTTTGGCCCCAATTTTAGACTGAAAAAGAAAAGAGCGTTTTTAACAAACTAATTTATACTTAATAAAATATCTTTTAAATAAAAATTTAAATCTTTATCTGCCCTCTTGCACTCATTACTCAGAACACTTGAGAGGAATACAGTAAAAACCTACAATCGAAAAAAAAAAAGTAACGTGCCTAAACGTCACACAAAAGGGTATTAAAATAAAATATATACTCCAAAAGCTGATGTGCATTTTATTTATTGTGTAATGCTAATTTTACGGCCCATAGTAAGTGCAGGTTCATATCGCGGAAAATTGACACATTTCTGCCCATTGTGTATAGTATACAGCCTAAACCAATGAAGGTTATGATGCTATCATTATGTGTATATTTATGTATGGTATTTAATTATACTTAACTAATACCAGAAACATAATTTTAACATCTACGCGTGCCAATATAATTTTGTTCGTAACTGTCATTTCCGAATTTCTATACGAGTTAAGGTATCATTGGGGTACTTATTACTTAAAAAACTAAACTTATTAGCTGCATTGTTGTTTGTCGCAAAATATAAATATAAAGTTGAACGCGATTTGAATGTTTCAAGTATTGTACCGTGGAAAAATTGATACCTAATTTTATAGAAAATCTTCTTACTAATTTGGTGTTTAGCCTTAGTATAAAATAAAAATATACTTTTGAATATTATATATATTACCCATCGTTTGGGCATGGAATGGCTTAGTGGTTAGGGCAAATATAGGTAAAACCGCATAGGCGACGATAATATCAAAGTTAAATAATAGGTTGAACAATCGGTAAGTTTTTATATTTTTATTTAAAAAAGGACGACGTTATCCTTCTTTAAATAAAAATATAAAAAACCTGGTTAGGGCGCTCGACTCCCAATCTGAGGGTAGCGAGTTCGAACCCTTGTCACCGAACATGCTCGTCCTATATGGTTGCCGACTAGGCCAGCTACCCTGGTTTTAAAAATTCTTGGCTTAAAAAAATAATTCCGGCCTACCCCAAACTAGTCGTTAAAAAGAATAAGAAAAACATCGTAATGTTACCTGATTCTTTTGGTAAATTTCTCAAACATTATTAGTGTGAAGTCATTGATTGTGATTGTGACGTCATTGTTTCGAGCTTATTTTGTATTCTAAACATATAGAAAACTGTGTGTAATACCAGCCATACGTATAATTTGTGTGAGATTAATATATATAGTTAAAAGAAGAAAAATAAAGCTGGAGGAACTTAAAATAGATGTTTCCTAAACCAGAATAATTCTTGTTGATGGTCGTGTTTGACATTTTCTCAGTTATTTAATACCAATACATTTATTTTTCAGAGTTAAATTTGGTGTTCCATTGGACCAAGTTTGTAAACAGGATATTCCTGGCCCACTTTTGGTAAGTAGAGTAGTTCCTTTACATAAGTTTTTATAGTTTTATCAATATTCCCTGCACAAGCTTGTACACTATCCTGCGTATTTCTATTCTAATAGTAAACACGAAGATAATCGCTTTGTTTGTACACTTGTCACACTGAATAGTGGGAATCGATCATCACTCCAATAAAGCACCTACGGTTCCAAAGTGCGGAATTTTATTTTATTTTTTGCTATAATGGGACACGAGCCGTGGAACCTCCGGCTCATAGTCCGGCATGCTAACTTCTGGGCCGCGCTCAGCCCCAAATAAATTTTGAGGAGAGTTCTCATAAATAATGATCGCCTACCAATGAATAAGAAATGTGCGTATATTATGAAAATATACAAAACGAAATCAAAATCGCACGTGATCTTATCCCTGAGGTACAAGGCATTACTGAGTATCTTCATGAAGTCCAACAAACTTTCTAACAACCATTTCAAACTACAACTTGACTTTAACCTTATTGGTCCATTGTTATAGATAGAAAGGCACACAAGAGTGAAAGACAACATTGGCGATATATACAAAGTAACCCAAGATTTAGCGATGGGTGGTGTTGGCTAGCTATAGTCTATTATTTCGAAATTAGAGAAAAACGACCTTTAAACTCCAGATAATTATAAAAGAACTTTTTTATTTTAACCAACGTTTCGACTTTGTGACTTCATCAGAGTTAGTACATACAACTGTCTGATTTTAGAATGTTCGTTAAATTATAAAACTACTTGTAATGTTCTATTTCTCGAGTCTGCCGTAACGTGCGTCTAACAATGTATGGATTATTATTATTGTTTCGCTATTGTTTTAACATTGTTGTATAGTTATATTACTAATTATACAGCTATATTAAAATATGACATATATTACTTACTAGCTGGAGTACCCGTCCCCTGGACGGAAGTTATGTAAATTCATGATTAATAAAAGGTTATCTTAGGACATAAAAAATTGCTTCTTTTATATATATATATAATTGTAAAAAAAAAAACTCCCATAAAAACTGCGAAACACAAAATGTGAAACCGCAAATTTGTA